CCACAGGATCACAAGCCCAGCGTGCTGTCCGCTCGGCCGACCGGCTCCCTAAAGGTAAAGAGGTAAAGGGGCGCCCTGAGGTAAAGAGCTTTTTACTGTACTTGGACTTAATTTTGTTTGACTGTTACTCTTTGCATTTTGTTTGACAACAAATTGAATATTCATTACTATACTCTACCTGTTATTCCTACTGATCTTAGTTTACAGGTTATCACTCCATGGTCACATTTGTCAACTCCCTTTGCAAAATTAGTGTATTCAAAATTTGCATTTTGTTTTTCTTTTAATGCTTCTGTGATTTTGTCATGGTAGTTAAGTAATTGGGAACGGCAGTACCTTTCCACTTTAAGCCTGTGTTGACAGGAATGTGGAAGTTATTATTCACCATAAAACTGGAGATTTACTTCTGCTCACTCTTTTAAAAACTTTAATTATGTGTGATGTTAGTGTGAGTGGTCTTAGTTTTAGCCAAAGCTTTACTACCTCCCTTGTGCAGAGAAGCTATATCTGCAGATTTAAGTGCTGCTGGTATCTCCCCTGTATCCAGGCTCTATCTCCACATTACACCGAGAGCTCACGCTACTGGTACTTTACATTTCTATCTAATTATTAATGTTGTTATTATTATTAATTATAAAATATGCAATTCCAAGAGTTGAGATCCTGATGTGAGTGCCTGGGCATGTTGTCAGTTTCCATTTCAAGGTCTGCTGTGCTCGTGTTTATATCAATTACAGTGTCAGTTTTGGACACCATTAATAAAGAAGCTGTCTGGATGTTCAATTTTCACCTGACACTCGTAAAGCCGAGTTCATCTGGCATTGTAAAGCCAAGGTCACTGGCATTGCAAAGCCAAGGTCACTGGCATTGTAAAGCCGAGGTCACCTGGCATTGTAAAGCCGAGGTCACCTGGCATTGTAAAGCCGAGGTCACCTGGCATTGTTAAGCCGAGGTCACCTGGCATTGTAAAGCCGAGGTCACCTGGCATTGTAAAGCCGAGGTCACCTGGCATTTAAAGCCAAAGTCACCTGGCATTGTAAAGCCGAGGCAATCTATCTAACAAGAGGCAGCTCCTAGTTAGTAGTATGTATATCTAACCATTTCATTCACTTGGATCATCAGAGATTCGAACTAAGGAGTCTCGAGTACACCACCATCGTCTTGAATATCAAGAATACCTCAGTCGTGATCCAGGTAAGATTTAGGTACTTTCAAGACCCTACTTTGTTGCGGACATCGATGGCCCTGGTCGGTCGATCTTATACTTTCGAGGCACAAGTTGAAATCTCGGATGATTCAAGCAAATTAAATGTTATTACCTGCACCATCATGGGTGGCATCTTGTATCTAACAACTCCCACTTGTGTACCTATTCAACTCCTTGAAAACTTTCCGATGAGTAAGCTTCTATGATATTACTTGCTAACATGTTTCACAGATCTACAACCCTATTTCCAAACCAATCTTAACCTATTTCCTCTTAAAATCTACACTTTCCCAATTTCAATCTGTTATGTCATGCTCTCTCTTGATTTGATAATTTTAAAACTCTATATTTCATTTGGTAAACCCCTTCTGTTCATGTCTACTCTTCAATCATGTTCCCTCTAACTCTGAGTTTCCTAAGAATAACATATCTATGCAAATACTCTCGAGTGAGCATTTACATTCATTAAAAATAACAATTTGGATAACTATACAATTGGGTTTGTGTGAACACCCGGGTTAGGCATCAGTGGAAGCCTGGGGATCCTCGTGGGGGTGCAGTAGCCCTCCAGGTTGTCATTCTTTTACCATGTTGTGGTACAGTTGACTAGAGCGCGTCTGGGAACACTCGGCACATAGGTTCGAACCCTCATCAATGCTCCTGTGGATTTGTTCATTTGATGTATCACGTTATTGTGATTTGTGTGTGTACTGAAGTCAGAGGTGGACGACAGAGCCAGAGTGCATAGGGGAAATTGTGTGAACACCCGGGTTAGGCTTCAGTGGAAGCCTGGGGATCCTCGTGGGGGTGCAGTAGCCCTCCAGGTTGTCATTCCTTTACCATGTTGTGGTACAGTTGACTAGAACGCGTCTGGGAACACCCAGCACATAGGTTCGAACCCTCATCAATGCTCCTGTGGATTTGTTCATTGTACTGCATATTTTCCATAATGTGTAACGAGGGCAAGACAGAGTTGAAGGATAACATTAGACTTTTCATTATTAATGCTTTAAGTATGAATTCTATAACATGCAATTACAGCAACCTTGGAAATATGTAACATTGCATTTGCCTGACTCATCGTAGATTTGAACTAGGGCCTGGAAAGTACGAGACCATCGCCCTATCAACCAGGCCTGGTCGAGGCCCAAGGTCAAATCTCTGATTATCCAACTGAATGATATGCAATTAGTACTTTTACTGTTACTACTGCTGTTATTGTTACTGCTGAACAGTGTTTTACCAATATGTACCGCCACCCAAACTGTAAACTAAATGTTTTTCAATTTACAGTACATCAAATCATGTAAGTTTTACTTACACTATTGTAGACCTGTTCTGTCCAACCAGAATTGTAACTATTTTTTACAACTTGTTACAAATAATACCCATGTCTGTATTAGAACCATTTACAACATACAGTAACCTAGGTTTTAGATCTTGACTAATCATCATTCTCTTTTCCCCAAATTGATTTAATAATTACACAATTGTTTATCTGATATCTGGTATCAATGTTTCCTTTTTATGCTTAGAGCCCTACACTTGTCAGCATGGAACTGCAACTGAAAATCATTGGCCATTCCATAACAGTTTGTTTCAGCTTGAGTTCATTTCAGCTCAAGTTCATTCAGATCATTTTGTTTGCAAGACAGGCAGAAATTGTCACTTTCATTTTCACATGTTCGGGATGGTAGAATAAGATTTATCATAACTAGGGGAAGGCAGAAAGATTATGTCATAACTATAGAACAAAAAAGAAATATACAAGATTTGGGAGTAATCATGTCGGAAGACCTTACTTTTCAAGAAAATAATAAAGAAGCTGTCACAACGGCAAGAAGAATGACAAGCTGGATAACGAGAATCTTTTAAACGAGAGATGCCATACTAACGATGATACTTTTTAAAACACTAGTGCTCTCTAGGGTGGAATATTGTTGCATAATAACAGCCCCACTCAAAGCTGGACTAATTGCTGATGTGGAGAATGTGCAAACATATTTTACTTCCCAAATCCACTCTGTAAAACATCTAAGTTATTGGAACCACTAAAAAATTTTAAATCTGTATTATTTAGACTGCATGCAAGAGAGATACATAATCATTTACACACAAAATATTTGAGGGAATGCTTCCAAATATGTATGCAGAAATAACTTGACATGAAAAATAGAGGCATGGCAGAAGGTGCAAAATAGCCCCAGTGAAGCACAAAAGAGCCATAAGTATGCTAAAAGGCAATTCTATCAATATCAAAGAGCCTGACACTCTCCCTCTAAGTGTACCGGGGGATAACCAGCCGGCCTCTCGCTGTGTTCAAGAGAGCGCTAGATATACATACATCTCCAAAGGATATCTGATCAACCAGGCTGTGAACAGCTGTGTCTGCACCTCTGCATACAACAAGGTCTGATTGTCCAAGCCTGGTTGATGGCGTGGTTGTCCAGACTTTGTTGTAAAGACCACCAACAAGGAGGTCTGGTCAGAGACTGGGGTGCCCCCACAGGCATGTTACTCCTTGCAACCACCACAAAGTAGGAAATTATGGGAAGACAGAAAGATCGTCATAACTAGGGGTAGCTCAGGTCCTTGCAGCTAAGTGGACAGCACTTGGGGTCATAGTCCTAAGGGCCCGCATCCAATTCCCAGTCACATCAGAAACAAATGGTTTCCTTCATCTAATGGCCCTGTTTACCTAGCAGTATATAGGTACCTGGGAGTTAGACAGCTGCTATGGGCTGCATCTTGGGGATGTGTGTGTGACACACACACACACACACACACACACACACACACACACACACACACACACACACACACACACACACACACACACACACACACACACACACAATTTTAGTAGATATTATAGAGGAAAAATAGATCAAGAGTTGGTAAATTAGACAAATGACAGTTAGAAAATTGGGGTCCAAGAACTAACAGCTCGATCCAGCAGTCACAAATAATAAATAATGAGAAAGATTATATCGTAATGAATGGAAACATAGAAAGTACGTCATAACTAAGAGCAAATAGGTTGTCATATTTAGGGGGAAGACATAGAACGAAAATGGAAAAATATCATTCAACAGAGAGATCAAAATAGCAAAAACAAAAATGCAGTAAAGCAGCAAGTAATACTACCGAGGGAATGCTATGTGATAAATCAAAACAGACTGTTTCATTACATATACAACGTATTTCCCACTGGGAATTGGGCATGATACAAGGGGTATGAATACACAGTATGCCAGCAGAGTAGTTGGTATCAATGGGCTGGCAAGCCTGCTTGATACCTGCTTGATGGGGTTCTGGGAGTTCTACTCCCCAAGCCCGGCCCGAGGCCAGGCTTGACTTGTGAGAGTTTGGTCCACCAGGCTGTTGCTTGGAGCGGCCCGCAGGCCCACATACCCACCACAGCCTGGCAAGCCACGTAATCCACTGGTCCTGAACAGGAATTCTGAACGAAGAGGTTGTGCTCAATTCTCATTGGGTTTGACCAGGTTTCACAAATACCAAATGCCAGTAGAAAAAATATATTTACCTTATAACCCAATGCAGACATTTCATGTATATGGGCTGCATTACTTGCTTTCAGCCACATCATTATGGCATTCTCTGCACGCCTAACTTGCAACTCTTATGGTTTATCCGAGGGACCCCTTTATGGCTTTCCATATAACATGGTAAACAAGAAATTTCTTTGGCAAAACAGAAGACTTTTGAGACTATTTGAATAGCTTATAAAATCAACAATGCCAAAAAAGGAGACAAATGAAGACATCGTAGCTTCCTAATGGCTACATTTTATTTCACTAGGTAGTGGTAGACGAGGTTATATGTCACCACAAGTATACAACTCTTTATAACATGCAAACAGACAACTTATTTGCTACAATAATCAACAGTGCCATAAAATACTTTACAGAGAAACTAAACTACATTTTATGTCTCTTAGATAAACATGTCTATCTTATATTTAATAAAAAATGAATAGAGAACAAAATTTGATAAACTACAATGTTAAAAAATAAATTATAATACTACTGTATATGTAAATATATATATAGTGGCACCTCGATTAACGAATATAATCCGTTCCGGCACCGAGCTCGTCATGTGAAACTCTCGTCTTGCGAAACAACAACAACTGTCGTCAGAGGCGTCCGAGAACCAGTGGGAACTAGGAAGCACCATGTGCTTTGCTCGTTAATCGAGCGAAAGCTCGTCAGTCGAGACAAATTTTCTGCGAGTGGCTCGCTTGTTACGCGAAATGCTTCTAACTGGAGTCACTCGTCACTCGAGGTTCCTGCTATATATATATACACAGTATATATTATATATTTATTTATTTATTTATTTTACACACATACACAACAATGATAAAAAACACTGATTTAAGTATGCAGAATGTATATATGTATGATGCATGCACGTATGCATGTATAGATGGATATATGTATGGGAGTAGGTATGGATGATGTATGGAAACTTTCTCAAATAAAAATACTGTAGTGCATCTAAATATATTGTAAACATTCCTCCTTGTATCTAAAGACGATGCTTTTGTGCCTCCAAGGAATCCATTGAGAAGCATCACCCAACTGATGAGTTACTGGCTCACCACACCTAACACGCACATGTGCATCTCTACACACATACAAACAAATGTGTACATATCACATATACACAAACAAATGTGTACAGGTCGTGCAAGCACATACATAAACACAGGTACTTGTCATGCAGGAACAAATATAAACAAAGGTGTACACATTTACAGGCACATACATAAACATTTGTGTACATGTCATGCAAGAACAAACAAATGTGTACATGTTGTGCATGCACATACATAAACAAATGTGGACAAGTGTGCACACCATTTTACATCCCGTTTATATTTTACAGTCGAAGAATGTATTACCGTCTTACCGGAGGCATAAAAAGCATTGCAAAATGAAAACGTATATAACACAATCTTTCTATGTACCTGTAAGTCAATACTGCAGTAACATGTAAGACGACCACAGTTTAGCCGAGGGTCCTACCAATAATGCCACATGTACCATAATTGCCAGTGTATACGATGCATTTATTTTACAAGGCTATTTTCTGGAAAACACTAAGTATGCTTCATCATACTAGATTGGCACTCCACGTTTACAGTGCAAGTGCCCTTCAAAGCGCATTAGATGCAGGCTAATTTTTTTTTATAAATTTTTTCTTTTGAAAAATTTACATCTTATCTGCCAGTAAATACTGTATAGTAATTATATTTTTTTATTTCCCTACTAGCATTTCTCTTCAAAGATGTATGTCGGTCTGATTTTTATTAACAACTTTTCAAACCCAAATAATTTACATCTAGGAAGCCTGTCAAAATTATTATCAAAGGGTCGAGCTTTTAACGGCACGTACAGGCGACATACATCTCGCTGCCACTATAGCAAACTGTACACATCACAATTACAAATACTAATCCATTTACACTAACAATCATGTCAATGAGAAAATCCACCAGGGCTACAAGGTGGACACGAACCTACGACCCCGGCATTGCCAGTGGATTTTCTCACAGATGCATATCACGTTAATGTGATTTCTGTGTGAAATATACCAATGTTATCATACTATAATATAAACCTAATAAATTTCCAGAAGGTATCATCAGGCGCTACATGTCTTGGCTGGAAATATGACGACTGGACGAACCTCAATGGCTCGTCTTCTTTAGTAGGAAAGCGTTTGCATAAAACTCCCTCTCGCTTTTCAAACTCCTCTTGTTCACTTCAGCTGCCTTGTTCATAATGTTCACTTGCTACTGATTTACAACACAATATTGTGATGAACAGATGCATTTTGCCATGGTTACTTTCACAGTTCTTGGCACAAAATAATATGATCTATAAGTATGTATTTCAGAGAAGAGTTGCATGTGAGGCAGCATTGAATATGCAAATATTTCACAAACTTTTCCATATTAAGTGGAAATACAAGTATTTCATATAAACTGTTGACTTTCCCATGCCCACTGAATCTAGCCATTTCCACCGATTTCTTGCCGAGTCATGATAATCACTTCTCTTCAGCATACAGTATCCTCATATCCATCAACGGACCCATGAATGGTCCATCATTCCCTCCTGGAGATGTTGATGCCGAGGTCTTGCTGGAGTCGTAACGAACCATTCTCCCCGGCTTGGAACAGCAGTCTACCACGGTCCAATCAATGGTCCATTTCCTTCTGGAGATGTTCATGCTCGAGGTCTTGCTGGAGTTGTAACGAACCATTCTCCCCGGCTTGGAACAGTAGTCTACCACGGTCCCATCAATGGTCCATTTCCTTCTGGAGATGTTGATGCTCGAGGTCTTGCTGGAGTCGTAACGAACCATTCTCCCCGGCTTGGAACAGTAGTCTACCACGGTCCCATCAATGGTCCATTTCCTTCTGGAGATGTTCATGCTCGAGGTCTTGCTGGAGTTGTAATGAACCATTCTCCCCGGCTTGGAACAGTAGTCTACCACGGTCCCATCAATGGTCCATCATTTCCTCCCCGTGATGTTGATGCTTGGGGTCTTGAGCTGCACTTCTTGATGACAGGTTTTCTCTGGCAGCTTGTCCTCCTGGCCTCCCTATTGAGAATTGCTGAATAACTCTGCCTATATATTACCACTGTATACATACAATGAAACCACATTTCTTTGTATTTTTATGTTAAAAACATTGTAGCTGTAAACAAAAGTGTTGTGGTTACATTGTGTGTTCGCTGGGAAGCACTTGTTTTTTCCAACTATCAACACAAAAAATGCCAATTAGCCCAGGTGCCCAACTGCCAACTAACAGAAATAATGTTAGCCATATATCAAATGACTGAATGTTTGATTTTATCAGTGGTTATCAGTATATAAGGGATATGATATCACTTAGGTTTTGAGCCTAGTGTTGGGGCTGGGTGGTATGTCAGCATTATTCTCGGTGGTAACTATTTTAATTAAGGCAGTTTATGTACCATTGTACCATACAATAGTGCAAGTTGTATAAACTGCCATCTGCTATATACTAGCAGGTGGCAGTTTATACAACTTGTCTGTATAATCATTGGAGAAAAGGAGGAAGGTTCCCACCACCCAAGTTTAGCTGTTAAGTGTGGCAGGTCAGTAAGGGTTGCGTGTGACCTTACCTTCACCGACAATTTTGATAAAACCCTCTCCTCCCTCTCTAAGTCACATCAGTGAAGCCTAGAGTTCAACCAATCAGATGCATGTGTATGGTTGAAACTGCATTCTGATTGGTGCTCTGTGGGAAGGCTTTAATATGACACGAGGCATGAGTTCAGCAACTCGATTTGAGCTCCATCTCGTCATTCCTGGGAAGGGGACACTGGGAACCAGATGTGACCTCCTCCAGAGCTCAATAGTTCTGTCACTCCTTACATCACAGTAACTCTAGAGTAAACTACTGTGATCTATTTAACTCCCGTGCATCAGTCGAGTAGAAGCAGTGACGGTGTGGGATCCATTTATCAAGATGCTGATAGGAAACATGCGAGTGTGTGCGCGCACGTGAGCGAGTGTGAGCCGGCTCAGAGTAAGTACATGTAACTGTTTATTTGCACATTCTTATCACTCAAAATTTTGTGGTGCTAAGTGCAACTTAAGTGAGGTGAGGTGGTGTTTCTTGTCTAAGATCTGGTGCAGCCATTTCTAGCAAGGACCCATGCAGGGTGTATGTAATTACAACACTCCAGTTTTATTGTGCATGCAAATAGTTTTCCGAGTAACACTTTGAGCTCCAAATTGTCCCTTTGCATATAGCAGTGGTATTGAGGCAGCCATTATTGCTTTAGTTGGTCATATTACCAGTGTGTTAAGTTTGGGTTGCAATTCATCACCAGCATATCATCGTCAAGAGACAATACTGTGCATAGATTTGCCTATGACACCTCTTAAAATAAAGACAATTACAGTGGGTTACCTTCAGGTGCTTCCGGGGCTTAGCGTCCCGCGCGGCCCGGTCATCGATCGCTGGTTGCTGGACTGTGTTGGTACCTTGGTTTTCGTATTTAATCCATTCCCAGAAACGGCTCATAAACCGAAAATTTGCAAACCAAAACAAATTTTTCCATAAGAAATAACGTAAATTTAATTAATCCATTCCACACTCCCAAAAATATTCACTTCAAAATACATTTCATACATAATACACATCATTGTTGTACTATAGTATGTACAAGTTATAGTTTACCTTTAATGATGCCGTATGGAAGACAGTGAGGAGGGGGGGGGGGAAGGTGCTAGTGTTTGGAAGGGAAGTCCCCTTCCATTATAACATAAGGCAGTGATGACTTTTCTGGGATACTCTCTCCTACGTAACTACACACAGAGATCACACTAACGTGATGCATCAAATGAACAAAAAGTCGTAGCTCAGTCGATTAAGGCAGGGTCTGGGATACTCCCGGACGCAGGTTCGAATCCTTGTCACCGCCCTTGTGGATTTGTTCTCTCTCCTACGTTTTGCAGGCATAGTATTATGCCTAGAGTTAATATTAGTATTAGCTCTAGAATTACCACAGTTATCCAAGTAAGTGGGTTTACAGATCCAATGAAACATAGCTGATTTAACCCTTAAACCGCGCAAATCATATATATATGCTTTCAGTGACAAAACCGAAACCGCGCATGTCATATATATATATGATTTTGTGTCTAGCGCTATAATTTAAATGCCCCACCTGGGATAGGGGCAGCTATAGTGCAGCCACGACCGATAGTTGCCAGATGCCACCTAGAAACAAAATCCAGGCCAACATTCTTGGGTGTGAGAGCGTCAGTATTGAGCAAGCCACCAAGGCTGACACACACAGCACGAGCTCACAGCACCGCTGTTCAGCTAGTGACCACAGCATTGCCTACAAATGCCATAATAAATATGTTCCTGCTATTATTTAGTGATGATAGTATTACAGAAGACCCCCTGACTGTGATAAAACTGACCAGGATTCTGATAATAGCAGGATTGTGGTGATATTTAGCGCTGTGCTCCATGGAGGGAGGAGTAGTGCTGTGGGAGGGAGGGTGGTGGCGTCGTCTTCTGACTGTGGGGCCACCTTTTATTGACTGCACTCACCATACCAGCTTAGTGGTTTGCTATGGTGAACACAAATGTAGATACTTATATATAACATGTGTATAGAGTGTAATAACAGCAATAGGAGTAGGTTGGGAGCCGCCATTTTGGTGAGGGCGGTGGCGTCGTCTACATGACTTATCATGTTGTTTACTGGTGACCACTATGGTCTTTGGCCACCATACCAGCTTATTTGTACAAGTATGGTGAATAAAAGAGGTAGATACTTATATATAATGTGTGTATATAGCGTAATAACACCACAAACAGTATTGTTGGAGGAGAAATATTAGTGCGTCTGGCCTTGAGGGCGGCCGCCACCAGCCGACTGTGTGAGTAGCTATATCTTTGTGCCTTTACTCACCATACAAGCTTAGATGTACAGTTATGGTGAACAAAACATGTAAATACTTATATATAACGTCTGTGTGTATAGTGAATAAATGCAAAAACAGTATTATGGGAGGAGAATGAGGGCGAGTGAGTTATTGTTGAGGAAGGGAGTGGCAACGAGTGGCTGGCTGGTGTGTGGTGGTCACTCCTCGTTGCATTTTGACTGACAATACCAACTTAGTATTTCGTTATGGTATACAAAACATGCAGATACTTATATATAACCTGTGTATATAGTGTAATAACAGCAAAACTATTTGTTTATTTTTATGAACATAATAATTGAATCACTAATATGCACACCTTAATTTTGAGTTCAGCAATGGTTCACACATTTTATTATATAAATATATCACAATTCACTGTATTGAATAATATTACTGCAAAATACTAAGAAAAAATCAATCAGAGACATTGAAATAATTAGGTAATAATATATTTGTGGCAACTGCCGCCTGACAGCTCGAGCGGAGTAGACCTCGTCTGGCGAAGGCTCTGTCAACACCCCTCTTTTGCCACACTTTCTTACCCTATTGCCGCTAAAATATGCCACCTACGATTTTTTTGTTATTTTTTCAGTGATCAGGGAATGAAAATAAACACTTCTATAAGACGAAAGAACTTTTTGGAATTTTTTTTTGTAGCGGTTTGAGGGTTAATGAGCCATTCGCAGTTTCTGACCACTAGGACCTGGTTGTGGCTCACTGTTTTCTTGTCTTATTAAGAATCTGTTTAAAGACACTTGTTTTCCCTACATTTTAGCATTTGTCTGAAGTAAGACATCACATTGTCATTCAAAAGGTCAATGCTACGGCCTGGTTCAGCTTTATCTGGGCGAGTTTTTTCAACAAACTTTGCAGTTCTTCCCATACTTCACACATTTTCTTAATGAGGAAGGGACTGCCTCTACTCAACTATTTTCTTTGGTTGAACCTTACCACTGACTTTCTTGGGACCCATGGCATGGTATATAATAATTACTTTCATGTTTAGAAACCAAAAAAGCTGAAAAACAAATGAAATTCTTTACAAAGAATTCAAGAGCGATCGTCACTAGGCGGGAGGCACTGGTAAACTGAAGCGTGGTCGCCCATGCCACCAGGAACCACACGCTCGCTCAACCCATATATGTATCAACAAACTCGCAAAGTGAGAAAGTTCATAAATCGATTCAAATTTTATGAAGAAACTGAGCTCGTAACCCAAAAAATTTGTAAAGAGGGAGGTTCTGTAAGCGAAGTACCACTGTATCCCCATTTCCATTGTATATATACAGTATTTGCATTTTTATGTTCTAATTTAGTGAATTAATTTATATGTTTGGCACATGGTGTTTTAAGAAATCCTTTCTACCTCACATTGCAAACTGGTGAATCAGTTCCACAAAAGAATCTTTCCCCTATGTACTAGTCCTATCAAAAATTTTAAATTGTTATGAACCGATTACTCTGATCTCCCTACACCACCAGAGATCAGACATGACCTATATCTGGCAAGATCTTCAAGATCCTGTGCCTGTTGCTCTAGGCATTTTACATTGTTAATTCCTGTGAGGGGCTAGCCTAGCTACTCCTGTGAGTGGCTAGCCTAGCTACTCCTGTGAGTGGCTAGCCTCGCTACTCCTGTGAGTGGCTAGCCTAGCTACTCCTGTGAGTGGCTAGCCTCGCTACTCCTGTGAGTGGCTAGCCTCGCTACACACAATGGTGGTGGCTCAACATTAAGTAAACTCACACACAGTTGTTCAAGTACTTAAGGACTGAAGTAGTCACGCTTTGCTTGTATGTACTAAGTAGCATGAATGTATGACAGAAAAATTAGAAAAAATGGAAGACAAGCATACAGAATGACAAAAATTCAAAGAACATGAACAATTATATTAATTAAATGCGCTAAGATAATTATGAGAACTGCTTAGCCAATATGACTATATAACACTTGTAAGGGATATTAAGGATGAGGAGCCAAGATAAGAAGACAGAGTGATGGAACAGTGCCAAACACACTTGGACAATCAATGACCGAGCCCTAACCCTGCAAGAACTGTGTTCATTGCTGTACTGACCAGTACTACATAAGTGTTCACCCGTAAGGACCACCGGCAATTCAACACCAACTCTGCAAGAAGCGAGGTCGTTGCTGTACCGACCAGTACAAGTGGAATGGTGCCCAACCACTTGTACTATTTATACTTATTAAACAGTTTATGAGCGGTGAAGCACTATGGTACAGTAATAATGACACGGGTTGTGAAGTTGGCAAGCTCGTATACTATTTAATAAGTACAGAACGAACTGCCACGATTGAGGAAAGGTGTTCCAGTGTCATAAGTGGAGACGTAAATGCTTGATGAATCCTGGCCCCTGGTCATATGAAGCAGTATGGTGCTGGTGAGGCCATGCTTATTGAACTCTCATGCTATATAACAAACTTTTGAGTGTTATAATTTGTAATATTTGTAGCATCCTTGACTATGAGAAACTCTGTAGGAGCAGTGATGAGGGTTTGAACCTGCGGTGGGTGTTCCCCCTCACACACGCTTCTACTGTGTGAGCAGTGAGTTACTGCTCACACGGATTTTCTCATTGATGTAGTCACATTAGTGTGATTACTTTAAAATAAAGTATATCCTTGACTGTATTATTCCTATTCTCTCTCTCTGGGCTGAATATGAAGCCTGGGCTGGGCTTTCATGCCATGGGCATCCCGACCCCATGAAAGTGGGAAATAAAGTAATGGTAATGAATAGATGAACTAAAAAACAATTGCTTACAATTTCTCTTCAATTAATTGTTAATACAGTGTTTTCCTCTACTATTACAGTACTGTATATTCTCCACGTGTACACAGTACTGCATACTGTCAAAACCTTCAAACATTATAATGTAAACAAGACGAGACTGCCTCACTCTCCGGTGTCATAATCGTTAATATTGCCTTAGCTTTAGAAATGACTGATAATAACCCAGCTCACGCACAATAAATGAAAGTGACGAAGACTGGGGGTCAGCGGTGGAGCTTCATTACATCGTGTCAGAACAAGAGTGGCTGCACGAGTTGGGGTATTTGTTTCAGCCTCATGTTTATCACCATCATTGCCATTGATGTCCATAACCATATTTAATTAAATGTTAAAATAACATTATGATGAATGTTGACATAGTAACGGAGAGCAGCAATTCAAGCAAATGAAAAGCTTCGTCATTAAACAAATTATTTCCTTTCTCTTTAAAGTGAAATCAATTTCTCTCACAAGCACAATTGGTGTATTTATTACAGGAGCAAATTAACTGTTTTTGTATACTGTATTTATCAATATAATGCATGTGTAATGACCAAACTAATATTGTCACTCAGCACCTGACAGACCACATCAAATATGAATAAAATGATAAACTGAAAATAAATCAATTCAATTAATTATCCTAAATAAATAACCTAACCTACACATATGAAATCAATGTGATGACATTTGGGTCCATTTTGGACCTTCATCACCGTCATTTGGGTTCAGATTGGACAGAAAAATGATCACTCTACATAATTTAGTTTCATACATGTAGGTTGGATTATTTGATTCAGCCACATCTCTGTGACTTAGTCTCTGCAATTACCTCCAAGTTTAAAATATAACAATCCAAAATCTTTTCAAGTCTAACATATTTGGTACAAAATTTTGTACGTGAATTCAATGAACTACATTAAGATTTTCTCATCCAACTATCACTCAATACCTGCAATAAGCTCTGTTAGTTGCACCAGCAGCACATCCAACTATCACTCAATACCTGCAATAAGCTCTGTTAGTTGCACCAGCAGCACATCCAACTATCACTCAATACCTGCAATAAGCTCCGTTAGTTGCACCAGCAGCAAGTGCAAAGGCTGGAAAAACATGAAAGTTTAATTCCCAGGTTAGTTCAATGCAAAAAGGAAGCTTGGAATAAAGAAATATTAAGATAATATATCTAAGATAATGTTAGAAAGCCAAAATAAAAGAAAATATTCCAAAATAACCATCCACCACCCACCACAGAGAGAGAGATGGTCAAATGATGTCCCAAAGTAAGTGAGACGAAGAAACGCAGCAAATCCTTCCTTAACAAGCCCAATGAATGAACTCTCAAAACAAATTATCATGACTACAAGTGGTTATATCTTGCTTCATGTAAGCCAAGCCACACATGTGAAATGAAATAGAAGTGATGACGTTTGGACTTGTCCCAGACCCTCAATGAAGCTCAAACATGGACCGAAACACCGCCACTTTTATTTCACGCGTGTGAGTTGGGTTATTTGTTTCGACCAAGTTATTGTGGCTTATTCTCTCTATCTTGCTTCAAATTCAGAGCAAAATGGGCACAAGTTCATCAATGTGCCTAACACAAGCAAATTCATTTTAACTCACCTATGATAATCATGGACACAGTAGATCTTGTTGTCGACATCAACTGTAAATGGCACGCCATCTAAACACTCATTACATATGCAGCATCGGAAGCACCCTGGATGGTAAGACTTGCCCATTGCTTGTAATATCTGATCAGAACAAACAAAAATATAAATCAGTTGATGAATGTAATGAAATGCCTGTTTCTAGTGGATCCCTCAGTGGCTCTTCAAGAAATTTAAACTAAATATACGGCATTAAGTGTTTTTGAGAGTTGAAATAAAATACGTTATTTCTGCATATACTGTACTAAAAGTTGCAACATTTGATACATAACTCTGCCACATACATAACTCTGAATGCACAAAAAAGGAGTTGATATCACACGAAACCTGTCTCCTTAAGCCCACATAAAAAGAATAGCATCTGTGACGTATGCAAGGCTGGCTAACATGAGAACTGCCTTCAGGAACCTGAGCAAGGAATCATTCAGAACCTTGTATACCACATATGTAAGACCAATCCTGGACTATGCAGCCCCCAGCATGGAGCCTGTACCTTGTCGAGCACAAAACGAAGCTTAAAAAAGTTCAGAGGTATGTCACTAGGCTAGTCCCAGAACTAAGAGGTATGAGTTACAAGGAAAGGTCGAGTGAAATGCACCTCACAACACAGAATACAGAAGAGTAAAGGAAGACATGATCACTATCTATAAAATTCTCAGAGGAATTGACAGGGTAGAAAAAGAAGAAGTTTAACACGGGTGGTACGCGAACAAGGGGACACAGGTGGAAACTGAGTACCCAAATGAGCCACAGGGGCGTTAGAAATGACTTTTTCAGTGTCAAGAGTAGTTAACAGATGGAATACATTAGGCAGTGATGTGGTGGAGGCTGACTCCATACACAGTTTATAATGTAGATATGATAAGAGCCCAATAGGCTCAGGAACCTGTACACCAGTTGATTAACAGTCAAGAAGCGGGACCAAAGAGCCAGAGCTTAACGCCCACAATCACAACTAGGCGAGTACAACTAGGCGAGTACGCACTCAGGAAGCAGCCCGTAACAGTTGTCTAACTCCCAGGTACCTATTTACTACTAGGTGAACAGGCTCATCAGGGTGAAAGAAACTCTGCCCATTTGTTTCCGCCATGGCTGGGGATCAATCCCCGGACCCTAGAATTACGAATCCCAAGTGCTGTCCACTCAGCTCCTCTTCAGCCTTACCCTACAAATATATCTTGGAACACCACCTACCAATTGGTAGTTTGAATTCAAACTACATTACCGTATATATATATATATATATATATATATATATATATATATGAATTTTCTTATTTCAAGACATTTTGTGATCATGCTTATTACTGAGAAATTCTTCCTTTGTAATTCTTTTGAAGGCTCGTACTGCTTTTTACCCTGTGTGTCCTACCTAGCAGTCGCTCTGTGGTGTCACGTTACTGTGTGTCCTACCTAGCAGTCGCTCTGTGGTGTCACGTTACTGCGTGTCCTACCTAGCAGTCGCTCTGTGGTGTCACGTTACTGTGTGTCCTACCTAGCAGTCGCTCTGTGGTGTCACGTTACCCTGTGTGTCCTACCTAGCAGTCACTCTGTGGTGTCACGTTACTGTGTGTCCTACCTAGCAGTCGCTCTGTGGTGTCACGTTACTGTGTGTCCTACCTAGCAGTCGCTCTGTGGTGTCACGTTACCCTGTGTGTCCTACCTAGCAGTCGCTCTGTGGTGTCACGTTACCCTGTGTGTCCTACCTAGCAGTCGCTCTGTGGTGTCACGTTACCCTGTGTGTCCTACCTAGCAGTCGCTCTGTGGTGTCACGTTACTGCGTGTCCTACCTAGCAGTCGCTCTGTGGTGTCACGTTACTGCGTGTCCTACCTAGCAGTCGCTCTGTGGTGTCACGTTACTGTGTGTCCTACCTAGCAGTCACTCTGTGGTGTCACGTTACCCTGCATGTCCTACCTAGCAGTCACTCTGTGGTGTCACGTTACTGCGTGTCCTACCTAGCAGTCGCTCTGTGGTGTCACGTTACTGCGTGTCCTACCTAGCAGTCACTCTGTGGTGTCACGTTACTGCGTGTCCTACCTAGCAGTCGCTCTGTGGTGTCACGTTACTGCGTGTCCTACCTAGCAGTCACTCTGTGGTGTCACGTTACCCTGCGTGTCCTACCTAGCAGTCACTCTGTGGTGTCACGTTACTGCGGCCTCACCACACATTTTGGTTGGTGGTCTGATCAACCAGGTTGTTAGCCGGCTCTGCTTGCAGTTTGATATATGAATCACAGCTCTTAGTCTGTCTGTCCCCATATCCCAGCTCCTAGCATGTCCCCATATCCCAGCTCCTAGCATGTCCCCATGTCCCAGCTCCTAGCATGTCCCCATGTCCCAGCTCCTAGCATGTCCCCATGTCCCAGCTCCTAGCATGTCCCCATATCCCAGCTCCTAGCATGTCCCCATATCCCAGCTCCTAGCATGTCCCCATGTCCCAGCTCCTAGGCTCTCCTCATGTCCCAGCTCCTAGGCTCTCCTCATGTCCCAGCTCCAAGGCTCTCCTCATGTCCCAGCTCCAAGGCTCTCCTCATGTCCCAGCTCCAAGGCTCTCCTCATGTCCCAGCTCCAAGGCTCTCCTCATGTCCCAGCTCCAAGGCTCTCCTCATGTCCCAGCTCCAAGGCTCTCCTCATGTCCCAGCTCCAATGCTCTCCTCATGTCCCAGCTCCAAGGCTCTCCTCATGTCCCAGCTCCAAGGCTCTCCTCATGTCCCAGCTCCAAGGCTCTCCTCATGTCCCAGCTCCAAGGCTCTCCTCATGTCCCAGCTCCAAGGCTCTCCTCATGTCCCAGCTCCAAGGCTCTCCTCATGTCCCAGCTCCTAGGCTCTCCTCATGTCCCAGCTCCTAGGCTCTCCTCATGTCCCAGCTCCAAGGCTCTCCTCATGTCCCAGCTCCAAAGCTCTCCTCATGTCCCAGCTCCTAGGCTCTCCTCATGTCCCAGCTCCTAGGCTCTCCTCATGTCCCAGCTCCAAGGCTCTCCTCATGTCCCAGCTCCAAAGCTCTCCTCATGTCCCAGCTCCAAGGCTCTCCTCATGTCCCAGCTCCAAAGCTCTCCTCATGTCCCAGCTCCAAGGCTCTCCTCGTGTCAGTTAAAAAAGCTAGATTAGTCACACAGACTTAGCTTTTCCTCCTGATAATTACCTTACCCTTTATCACCATTTGTGATGGGTCTTCCTCACTTCCTGCGACCCTGTCGTGTCTCTTCAACCAGATCTGCCCCTCATCCATTCAACTAGATCTGTTACTCATCCATTCTCTCACATTCACGTATTTGTAACTTTCCCTCAATCAATCACTTCCCTTTTAGTTTTCGTGTTCCGATGTTAGTTCCGTTTTTGCGCTTTACTTTCCCATTTAATTGCCCCCCACCTTGACTCTGGTCTTACACTGACTCTCCAATCACTCTCACGTCCCGATCCTTTGATAAGGGATCGGGACGTCTTCACTCTCGCTCCTTTTCACACGTGTGTGCAGTTGCGCGATTTATATCGCACATTGTTTCTATGCAATTTGCCTGTGTGATATTACGTATGTGTATAGCTCATAAGCCCTTTCCACTGTAAGTAATTGTTACAGCTTATTTGATTTACTGTATTTTAGGATGTGATTACTTTCAGAAAAGTATAGGATTTATCATTATTATGTAGAAATTTATTTTTCTGATGGGATAAAAAGATGGTATCCAAAGGGCCTGTGACATCACTTCTGTCACTGAATAAAGTAATGACCTAAGTGTAATTACCTATGTGCATTTTACATTGCTATGTGCTATTGCTATGTGTAATTGCTATGTGCAGTTACACGATGAAAGCTACGCTCATGGTATCCCATCTTCCCAGCACTCGGTCATATCACACTTTCAAACTAACGACGCTATTGGCCTCCACTGCCTAATCGCTTAACTTGTTCAAACTACTGTATCTACAACTCTGTAAAAGAAAACTGTCTAATATTTTTTTTGACACCTTTATTTCCTATGACCTCTTGTTCTTGAAGTTGCAGCTTTCCTATGACCTCTTGTTCTTGAAGTTGCAGCTTTCCTATGACCTCTTGTTCTTGAAGTTGCAGCTTTCCTATGACCTCTTGTTCTTGAAGTTGCAGCTTTCCTATGACCTCTTGTTCTTGAAGTTGCAGCTTTCCTATGACCTCTTGTTCGTGAAGTTGCAGCTTCTATTTTGTCTATTTTGTCCTTTGTCTATTTTGGCAATTCTTGTTACAATTTTGTATGTGACGATCATATCGCCTCTTTTTCTTCTATCTTCTAGCTTTGGCATATTTAATGCCTCTAGCCTCAATTCGTAGCTCTTGTCTTTTCAGTTCTGGAAGCCATTTAGTAGCATGCCTTTGCATCTTTTCCAGTTTACGTGTGTGTTTCTTGAGATTCAGGCACCATACAACTGCTGCATACTCCAATTTTGGTTTCACAAAAGTCTTGAATTTTTGTATATATTTGACAACCCATGTACAGTATTTAAAAGCAATTGTGAAGTTGGAAAGCATAGCATATGCTCCTCGTACAATGTAATTTACTTGTTCATCTGGTGATAGTCTACTTTCCTGAAACACACTTAGATCTCTCTCTCTTTTTCAGAGTTCTTTAATGCCTTTCCACATAATTTGTAGGGTGTGTGTGGTCTATTTTCACCTATTTCACATTCCATAATGTGGCATTTATTCACATTGAATTCCATTTGCCTGTGTTGCTCCATATACTTATTTTGTTCAGGTCATCTTTAAAAGCAGGATAATTGTCAAAGTCCTTTATCTTTCCTAATAGCTTAGCATCATCAACAAATGTACTCACCTAGTTGTGCTTGCGGAAGCTGAGCTCTGACTCTTTGGGCCTGCCTCTCAACTGTCAATCAATCAATTGATTACTCCCTCCCCCCCCCCCAGGAAGCAGCCCTGTAGCCGCTGTCAAACTCCCAGGTACCTATTTACTGCTAGGTAAACAGGGTATCAGGGTGAAAAACTCTGGCAATTTGTTTCCGCCTTCGGGATCGAACCTGGGCCCTTAGGACTATGAATCCCAAGCGCTGTCCACTCAGCCATCAGGCCCCAAATTTATAAAATGTATTCATAAA